GGCACTTCCTTCCCCATGGAATGCCAGGCCCTGGCCCCACTCCACTTGCAGAGCTCCAGATTCCCCCAAGGGATGTGCTCTCTGTGTCCATGGCACTTTTACAGAACTTCCCTTGGGGCATTGGTGACATTCTGGTTTGTGTTCAGTTTATATCAATATTTCATCTCTTTCTAAAGATAACTGTGGAAAGGACCACTGCAGTCTGCAACCTCTCATTGGAGTGTGTATTCAGGCACATGCATGGGTTAAAGACAGTAGCACAATGGAAATAACAGTGGATTTGAATCCTGACTCTTCACCAATTCATTTTATTCTATCTATTGGTGTGTACTTGGAGTGACCTTAAACAAATGTGGATCTCTCTGAGTCTCAGCTCCTTCACTTGTCAAGATGGAATCATGATATTTATGCCACAGGGTTGCTGCAAGATAGGCAATGACGTGCACACCCATCTGCCTCTACCATAGTTCTGTTTTGAGCCCTCCCTTGGGTCCCAGTTACAGCATTTAGTGATTCACATTGACTCTGTCACGAACATTCCATTGCTGCTGACTTCCCTCCAGCTTGAAGGAGCATGCCATGCAGATCCAGCCACAGTGTGTTCCGGTGGGCACACTCCAGGCCTTTTGCCCCTGGTCAGGCGGGATGGATCATTGTGGCTTTTCATGGAGGTGCAGTGAGGACTTGTATCAAGGTCTGGATAGGGACGTGCATCTCTTTTCCTTGCTGAGTGTGATCTCACTGCCAACTGGTGTCTGGGGCCATGTTGGAAACCGTGTTTGGGCAGGCTCAGCCTGACTGAAGCCAACAGGGCTGGGGGCCTAGTTACTGTAGGATATCAGGACCCCCTGCCAATGGCCCAACTGAAGGCAGGAAATGTTGCTCAAACCTAGAGGAAAACGAGTTCAGTTTGTTTCTTTAGGAAACTGAGTTAATATATCCTGAGTGTCTTTCTGGCATTTTAACCTTTCAATGTTGCCTTTAGGAATTTAGAAAGCAAATGATCTCTAAAATGATGTGAGAGGGTATATGAATATGTGTGTGTGTGTGTGTGTGTGCACGCGCGCGCGCACGCGCGCATGCGCATGTGTGTGTGTTCATTGGATTATTGATGTTGGACCTAGTTACCAAGTCACCAACATCAGTTTGGTGTTGCAAAATTGAGATACTTTTAAGTTACAGTCCAAGGACACCTTCCTGAGAAGGTGGTTGAGAACCTCTGGAGTATGCAGGAAGAGCCAAGTCATGGAGCTAGAAGTACTGGCTTCATCCCTCACCAACTCTGTCACTTAACTTCTTTGAGTCTTTGGGTTCTCATCTGAAAAATGTGGGGTAGCGATAAAAGCTTTTCTTCTTGTCTTTGTTGCAAGAACTAAATAAAGCATACTACTGTTTGGACATGTTTCATAAACTCCAATATGCTTGGAGAATATTAATTGACATGTTATATTGTCAATATAAATATAAATAAATATTTATATAAAGATATAAAAATATAAATGGGATCCCGTGTGTCTAAAGTCTCTGGTGAGGCTTCAGTGAGTGTCTCCAGGACAGAACATCAGGTCATGGTTAGAGGATGTGCCCAGGTGATTGTTTGGCATCCAGTGGCTTACCCTGACCATTTCTCATAAAGCACACTCCTGAGAGCATGACCACAGACCACCCTCACCAGAACTACCTCAGGAGCTCATGAAAATGCAGACTTCCAGACCTTTTTATTTAGAAACCCCAGGGGGTGTGACCCAGGAATCAAACTCTTTAACCAGCACCCCAGCCTTACCAGGTGACTCTGATACACATGAAAGTGTGAGAATCACATATCCAATAGTGACCCCAAAATGTTGGTTGATTTACTCCATAGACAATACTTGGGCACTATCTTAGTCTGTTTTGTGCTGATAAAACAGAATACCTGAGACTTGAGACTTGGTACTTTATAATGAATAGAAATGTATTGTTCATGGTTCTGGAGGCTGGGAAGTCCAAAATTGAGGGACTGGCATATGGTGAGGGCCTTCTTGCTACATCATCCCCTGGCAGAAAGTGGAAGAGCAGAGGGAGGGAGAGACACAGGGAGAGAGAGAGAGAGAAACGGTAGGGGGGCAAACTCATCCTTTAATAAGGAACCCATTCTCATGATAAAAGCAGTAATTCACTTATGAAGGCAGTGCCTCCATGACTCAAACACCTCCCATTGGGCCCCACTTCCCAATACTGTTGCATTGGGGGTTAAGTTTCCAACACATGAACTTTGAGGGACACATTCAAACTATAGCACAAATAGCTCCTATCTCCTGCCAGGAGCTATTTGTAGGGGACACTTCTTTGGCAGCAGGAGAGACACACAGATGAACAGCGTCCTCTGCTGTCATATACCAGATATTTAATGAAGACATGTAGTCAACACTGAAATCTGTAGGCCACATGAGGGGGCCAAGGATGAGGATCTTGCTAGCATTCTGCTCTGTTTCCTTCTCTGGGAAGCAAAGCTAAACATACACATTACCTTATGTAGTTATCACCACAGCTTTGAAAGGTAAATAAGAAAACCTAGCCTCAAGGATGTTGAGTAACTTGCCCAGTGTCCTATGAAGTCAGTGTGTTGTTAAATGTTTAACCACAGGCTGTGGTGTGAGAAGCCCTGATTGTGGAGTTTGCTGATTTCTATAGTGCAAAAACTCTCATTGTGGTGGATTTTAAGGTACCAACATGCTGTCACTGAAGCAGAGATGGAGAGAGATGCCCATAACGGGCCCTTGTGAGCTGGTGTGAGCTGGCTCCAGAACTCCACTGTCTGCAGCTGTCAGTCACTCAAATAACTGTCAATGAGTGTCATCTGTGGACACACAGAGAAGAGAGGGCATCTTGTTTCTGCCCTCCTGACACCTCATTTCATGAGCATTCAATAAAGTTTGGATGTTTGTCCCCTCCAAATCTCATATTGAAACATAATCCCCAATGTTGGAGGTGGGCCCTGGTGGGAGGCAAAGGCGATTGGGTCATGGGGGCAGATCCCTCATGAATGGCTTGGCACCATCCTGAATGACTTCTCAGGCCATGAGGGATCTGATGGTTTAAAAGCCTGGGATCTCCCCCTTCTCTTTCTTGCTTTCACTCTTGCCATGTGATATGCCTGCTCCCACTTTGCCTTTAGCCATGATTAGAAGCTTCCTGAGGTCCTCATCAGAAGCTGAGCAGATGTTGGAGCCATGATTGCACACCATGTAGAATCATGAGCCAGTTCAACCTCTTTTCTTCATCAATTACCCAATCTCAGGTATTCCTTTACAGCAAAGCAAAATGGCACAATATGGCGTCTACAATGTGCGTGGTACTATGTGAGGGAGATACTTAAGTATAATGAGGTCCCTACCTTCAGGGGGTAGAGTCAACCACATCCTTGCTTGGCTTACTTTATCTAGTGGCTTGAGGCCCAGGAATGTCCAGTCACCACTGGCCACACTGGGAGGCTCCAGGATAGGGCTGTCTGTGTCCAGGACAGGGACCTGAGGTTGCCGACATGGTGCAGGGGGTCACTGCAGGGCAGTGTCTCACAGAGTTGAAGGGGACTGCAGGGGCTCTGAGAGCTGCCCCTGTCTGTCCATCCCCACCCCTTCCCCACAGAGTCTTGGTTGAGAACAGAAGGGCCACAGTCCCTGCACATTTTCCTGAGGATAGGCAGGGGTACCCTGTGTCCAGGGTCTCTGTGGCCTGGACCAGGCCTGCCAGCTGGCACCCTCCCCATTTTCTGAAGAGTTCTGGCACGTTATGTCAGGCAGGTCCCTCATAAACTAGAATGTGCTGCCTCACCAGTCTCAGGGCAGATGGGTGTGTGGCTTCAGGGCTGCAGAAGGCAGCTGCTGGAACTTGGAGCAGGACAGCAGAGTATCCACCACACCAGGGCTGCTATCTAGGCTGGTTGTGGACAGCCTGGCATGCCCAGGTGGGAGCAGTCAGGGTCAGATAAAGGCCTCTCCCGGCTGGAGAGATGCCCAAGGGATGTTACAGAGAGCCTCGGGGTCCCTGCAGCAGGCTCAGGATACAGTGGAAGCTCTGGCTGTAGGGCGAGGGGAAGAAGGTACTGTGAATCGAGTAACCCCAGTCGTGTAGCAGCTGTTCTTGGGACAGGCAGACTGGGACACTCATGTCAAGGTCTGCCAGGATGGCATGCAGGCGGGGACAGGTGGCACTGGGGCGTGAAGGTGTCCAGGCATTCCTTCCTTTTCTCAGAGAGATTTCCTTGACTCAGCCTGTCTTTGACACACACGGGGGGATGGAGGATGATGGGGGAAGGGAGCGACAGTGAGCCAATCACCCTGCACCAGAGCCTTCAGGGCTGGTTCCCTCCGAGCCTGTAAGTGTGAGTGTGTGTGCGCGAGTGTGTCTGTGTGTGCACCAGTGGGGATTTCTGTGATAGAAGCAGCCAGATTCCAGAGACAGAGAGAAGAGGAGGGGGAAGAAAGAGAGGGGGGAGAAAATTGGGGGTGGGAGAGACAGACGGAGAGAACAGCGCGGGGGGCGGGGAGAGGGAGAGAGGTGGAGGGGAGAGCAGAGAGAGAGCGCGAGTGAGAGAGCAGAGAGGGAGGAAGAGAGAAAGCAAGAGAGCGGGAGGGTGCGCGGAGCGGAAAGAAGACAGAGCTCGCGGGGATGGGGTGAGAGCGGGAGGAAGCAGAGGCAGAGGCGGAGCGGGGGCGCAGGTGCCTGCAACCCAGGATCTCGGGGCACTAAAGGCTTTGGGTTCGGCCGCGCGCTCAGTCGCTGGCCCAGAGGTGCAGCGAGTGGGGCCGGGGTTCACTGCTGCGCGCCAGGTGCCTGCCCAGGAGGCGGCGCGGGGCTCCGGGGTGGCTGCGCGCCCAGACGCCTGCCCGGGAGGCTGCCCGAGGCTCCAGGGTGGCCGCTCGCCCTCCGGGGAGCCATGGCGGCTGGGGCCGGGGGTCGCCGGGCGGCGGCGGCGCCGAGGGGCTGAGCCGGCCGCGGGCTGCGCTATGGCGGCGCCGGGTTGCGGGCCCTGAGCGCCGGCGGGGGGCGCGCACCATGAACTCGTGGGATGCGGGCCTGGTGGGGCTGCTGGTGGGCACGATGGGCGTCTCGCTGCTGTCCAACGCGCTGGTGCTGCTCTGCCTGCTGCACAGCGCGGACATCCGCCGCCAGGCACCGGCGCTCTTCACCCTGAACCTCACGTGCGGGAACCTGCTGTGCACCGTGGTCAACATGCCGCTCACGCTGGCCGGCGTCGTGGCGCAGCGGCAGCCAGCAGGCGACCGCCTGTGCCGCCTGGCTGCCTTCCTCGACACCTTCCTGGCGGCCAACTCCATGCTCAGCATGGCCGCACTCAGCATCGACCGCTGGGTGGCCGTGGTCTTCCCGCTGAGCTACCGGGCCAAGATGCGCCTCCGCGACGCGGCGCTCATGGTGGCCTACACGTGGCTGCACGCGCTCACCTTCCCAGCCACTGCGCTCGCCCTGTCCTGGCTCGGCTTCCACCAGCTGTACGCCTCGTGCACGCTGTGCAGCCGGCGGCCGGACGAGCGCCTGCGCTTCGCCGTCTTCACTGGCACCTTCCACGCTCTCAGCTTCCTGCTCTCCTTCGTCGTGCTCTGCTGCACGTACCTCAAGGTGCTCAAGGTGGCCCGCTTCCATTGCAAGCGCATCGACGTGATCACCATGCAGACGCTCGTGCTGCTCGTGGACCTGCACCCCAGGTGAGCCGTGCCCCGCTAGGGCTCTGGGAACAGCCGCGCGGTATCTTGGTGGGAGTGGGAGGTCCCTAGCCCCAAGGGCTCTTTTCCACTCAGCCTGTTTCTTCTGAGAACACGAGGGTGGGGAGAGCGGCCCAGCTGTGGGGCTTAAGGAGGTGCTTAGGGTATCAGCAAACCAGGGCCACAAAAAACGTGGGTGAGCCCATCTATACATCGTTTTTCGAAGCATCAGGGTAAGAATCACAGACAGTCAGAACTCTGTTGGGTTTCTTCATGCTCATTTTCTGTGTTTGTAGCTTTCACTTTAAATGGCACATGGGAAGTCCGTGGTCTTTGTTCCCGTTAAAGACCTTCAAAGTGTTTGATACTGGTCCTGAGAGGGCAGCCTCGAGGCTTAGGGAGCTGCTTAAGAGCTCTTCAGACCCAAGTGTGTCGCTTCTCTGAGTCTTTCCCTTCTCGGGTGTGTGGCGCCGCCTCTGTCTCCCGACTCTGTGTGTGTGTGTGTGTGTGTGTGTGTGAATTCTGATGGACTCGAGCTGCATCCTTCCCTGTGGTGGGTCCTGAGGGGTGGGGCGGGGGCTCTTCCTGCCCTCCCCGGAGAGCACTGTCCAGTGTCTGCCGGACTTGGTGCCTAGAGGCTCCTGCAGAAGGAGTGTTACTCCAAGGCTCCTGGGGCTGAATCTGCCCCTACCTCTGTCCTCACATTGGCTGCTGCTCTCAGGAGGGCAGATGGAGCTGGGCAAGCATGGGTACCCTCTGGCAACCCCTGCCATCCGCAGGAGTCTGTCAGAGAGAGAAGGAGGGAACTCTTAGCTGCGCTGTCCTGAGCTCACCTCGGCTTTCCCCAGGAGAATAGGAAATCGAGGAGGGAAACAGCTGGCAGCGTCTAGACTCTGCTATTTTACATCCTGTTGTCCCAGGGGAAGGCAGGCTCCCCCTCTGTGTCTTGGGACCCTAGATAAGGGGGTGCTGGGGTCCAGATGGTATGGCAGGTGAGGCAGGCAGAGAGCTCCGACAGGGCCAGCAAGGGCCCTCCATATGAGAGAACCTGGGAACCCAGGGGAACCTCGGGGCAGAGGAAGCTGTATCCTCTGTTGGATATGTTCCACACCAAGATTAAAGGGGACAGACTGGAGGTATCAGGCTGAGCATTCTGAGTATTTCCTGCATGAGAGCAGTAACAAGCAGTCCTTGACCTTCACGGTGCTGGCACATTGAAGGGCAAGTGTGCACATGTTCATTGTCCCCTTGAGCACAGCCATTCCTGATTGCACACTGGACCAATCGTCCAGCCACAGAATCCCCACAGATTCAGGAACAGAATGTACATGTGAGTGACTGAGAGCTCATAGATACCAGGACATGTAAATGTGGGAGCTCCACACACAGTCTCATGTGTTCACACATAAACTGTATATGTACCAGACAGCTGGCCATGTGTACACAGGTTTACAAGAGTGGCATGCGTGCATTCTGCCACAAAGACATACACTGGCTGTCACAGCACATGTCTCTGCATGGTTCAGTGTCCTTCAAGGAAATATTTGCAGCCACGATTGCAGAGCTATTGCCCTTTCCATGACTCAGGGCTGAGAGGGTCTTCCTTAGAGGGTGCATCCTTAGCACTTGGGCTGGGACTGCTCTTAGAAGATGTAGGGCAATGTCATTTAACTCCCGAGACTGAAGACTCCTAGAGCGGGCCCTCTCACCATGAGTCTAACAGCGGAGGAGGGTTGGGCTGGGAGTGGAACCAGTTCTTATTTAGAGCAGTACAAACTGCATTCCCACTCTTCTTCCAACTTCTAGAAGAGGAGGGGCCGTGGTTCCTGTTCAGCCTATTTGGGATGTAGGGCCAGCTCCACTCCTGCAAATCCCCCTGGCTGATGACAGGCCAGACACTGCAGAGAGAGTCCTGGGGTCTCAGGAGTGGAGGCAGCTACTCTGCTCCCCTTTGATCTCCCCTCCACTCCTCTGGGAGGACCCTGATCTCTTCTTAGCCCCAGGCCGCTTTGAGGAGCCCCTGCTCCCAGCACCCCAGGACCCTCCAAGCCCAGTCTTCTTGGAGAGAGGAAAGACTTCTGGAGCCGGGGTTGCCATTGGCCAGTGCCAACAGGCCCCCCGGTCTAATGCTCCCTGCGGTCATGGAATAGTGGCAGACCTGATAGCACTGCCCCTTCAGTGAAGACAACTTGTCCTTCTCTGAGGGGCTGATCTCCACCAAGCATGTGGAAGGGACAACACAGGAGGGGATGGTCAGTCCGCAAGACACCCTGACAGCCAGTCCACCAGCTTCTATCTTGGCAGCACTAAACTCTTCCTCCCTACAAATGAGCAAGTACAGAGCTAGCTCAGGGGCTGCCCCGGGCACCACCAGTCTCAGGCAGTAAGCCTCCTGGGGCCATTCCGTGCTGAGAGCCTATAGGACCTGGGAGTGCTGGTCTTGGGCAGCGGGAGCCGGCTTCTCCCTCTGGACAGCCAGGGCAGAAGCTGGAGTCTTTGTTCACCGGAAGTTTTGTCAGCCTCCACACTGATAGCCTCCTGGGACTTAATTACAAAGGATCTGTTTTGAGGACCCAGGGTGGCGTTTGTCTTTGTCAGGAAGCTCCCTGGTGGTGTCCGCTCTACCTGCAGGATGTTTGGTATGATAAGGAGCAGTCCTCACCCCTTTGCTTCAACCACCTCCAAAATACCCAGGACCCTCTCTTCTTAATTCAGTCTGGGACCCTGGCCCTGGGAAGCATTCCCTACTCCTGCCTTTCTGTGTTGATTTCTTCAGTTACATTTCTGAAGAAGTTTGGAGTTTCTAATGTTTGTTAGACACCTGGTGCTCCACCTGAATGAGCAGCATTCACTTCTCCCAAACCACAGCTGGGGACTAGTTAGAGGCAGCCCCTCTCCCTGGTGCTCCCAGACATGGCAGAGCAGGTGGGCCCCAGGGTGTAGTTGCAGGGACCTTGCTTTTCCCTGACTCACTGGCTTGGCTTAGTGATTTAACAGAAACAGAATGTTGATGATGAGGTCTCAAAAGGGAAGCAGTGCCAAACCTAACTGGAGCTTCCTGTGAGGCTCCCCCAGGCTCTGCTGGGTCCCCCAGCATGTCCTCCGTGTCCTGTGAGCAAAGTCTGCAGATGTTGGCTGAGTAGCTGACTCTAGAGGGTGTCAGAATTGTGGCTCAGCAGACAGAAACTACACTGTGCCCTAGACTTTATAGATGAGAAAATGAGAGACCCAATTTTCAAGGAGAAGAGAAGCACTCTCCTAATTCAACAAATCTAGAAAGTGTCTCAAGCTAAGACTCACAATCAGGTCTGCCCCTAAGAGTTATGGATGGAGCAAATAGTGCAAATGGAGGCTTACCAGCTGTGCATATAGACTTAGACATTCTACATTAAGCTTACAAACTGTTACATGAAACGTGTTCTGCCCTCCTGCCTTGGTGAATATACCTTTATAATGACCGGCAAGGCTGGGTTCACATTTAGAATTCTCAGGCTCCTTGGGGATCAGCCTCATATGTGCTGGGAGAGCCGAGCTGGCCCACCTGTCTTGCCTACCACCCCAGCTCTACCCAGTACCACGAGGGGCCTCCCTTGCACAGGTGCACATTGCAGGTTGCACACCCACATTCCATGCACGTGTGTTGCTCACAAATACCACCTCTCAGGCGTCTAGCTGGGCACACAGGTGGCAAAGTCTACCCTCAGGAGGATGGGACCAGGGGAGATGCCCACACACATCTTGCAGGCAGGATGAGGGCATTTGGGCAAAGAATTCCATGTCTTAGGCATTTAGAGCTTGGTATGAAATAGAAGGTGGGGGCTGTGGGTAGGCACATCCACTTACCCCTATGAACTCTTTATCATATGGGGAGGGATGTGGGACTCTTAATGTGCAGGGCCCAGGGCAGGGGTCCTTCTTGCTGGATTTGAGGGCCAGACTGCTTATGCCGGTGTCCTGACCCCAAACTCAGGGCTCTTGCCCTCCGTTAGTCAGCTTGTTCCCTTGCCTTAAAAGCCAGAAAAACCAATCTGAGTCACTCCCCACATACTCAGAGCGTGGGCTCTAGCTGGACTCCAGTGGTCTAGGGATCTTTCAGGACCCAGGCCTCTTGTGGAGGGCAGGGAGGTGTCTGTGGATGGAAGGTTTTAGCTGAGATCACCTTGTTGATTGACTTTTCAGATATTCCCGAAAGGTGCCATCCCCTCTGCCCGAGGACTGGAGCCACTGGGGAGCATCTCTTCAACCCCACATGTCACAATGCTGGAGGGCCTGTCTCCTTTGGTCTCAAGGAAACTGTTGTGTCACAGCCTCGGGACCTCCCCTCTCCCCCACTCAGCCACACCGACACACATGCTCGCACTCTGGCTGAATGTACCTGACTGGGTTGCCTTGGGAGAGCTTTGAGTCTCACACCCTCTGCACCACAGATCCTGCCTGCAGGTCTGAGGACCCCGGGTATCACCACCAGGCCCTGGGATGTTTGAGAATGCCCACCTCTCAGTGATTCTATGGCAGGCAGTGGGGTCTCAGGGAGTCAACCCAGAACCACTCAGGAGACCTGGGAGGAGGCCTGCCTCTGTCCTGAACTTGCTGTGTAAACTTGGGCGTGTTGTAAACTTCCCAGTCCTCAGTGTTCTCATCTGAAGATAAGTAAAATAACAGCTCACAGGGCTGCAAGATTTCAAGGAGCTCAGTTTTGCAAAGCTATGGAGGGGGAAAAAAATGACAGCAAGCGCAAAGTGATGTTGTTTTGGGAGCGGATGAGCTGTTCTCATACTGTGCTTAAATAATAATCATAATAAGAAGCAAGAGGGCCGTGATGTTTCCCTCAGAGCCTGGGGGCTGCTGTGCCTTGCTCACCTCTTGCCACCTCCCTGTTCTCACCTGGAAAGCAGGAGAGCCCCAAACAGAGGAGATGGATTTATCATTTTCTTTCAAAAGATTTCAGGAAAGGAGTGATGTGGCTCCCGACTAGGAGCACCAGACTAGGAGTCAGTGACTGGGTGCTAGCCCCACATGAACTGCACTCCCTGAGTGGAAAAATCACTCTCTCTTTTGAGCCTCAGTTTCCCCATCTGTGATCTGGGGTGCATGGATGAGCTGACCTTTCATACTATACATGACTGTGGGATCTAGCTGGTCTGTCCCAGAGCAGAGGCATGACCAGGCCCATGTGGATGTCAGCCCCAGGCACAGTACCCACTGTGTAGACACCCTTTGTGCTCCACAGCAGGCCCGGTGTCATTAAGGTTAGGAAACCATGTCCACCAGGTCCCTGGAGGCCCAGAGAGGGTCACAGAGCCAGCACGAGCATCAGATCTCCGCCTCAGACCTCCTGACTCGATTCATTCTTACTACACCTTTGACACAGTTTCTGGTTACAGCTGTTTCTGTCAAATGCATGGGGCAGGAAGAGAACTTCTGCAGTGGGGGAGCTCTGTGGTTTTGGAGGTGGTGCACATGGCCCCAGAGTCAGAAGGTCTGGGTTCAGGTCCTGCCATCACCTAGAGTGACCAACCATCCTGGTTTGCCTGAGGTAGAGGGATTCTCAGATCTAGGCGTTTCCCTTTTAAAACTTGGATAGTCTCCTGCAAACTGTTCAGGAACAGTACCAGTTCAACTGGAACAATTGGTCACCCTACAGCCACCATTTTCCAACTGTGTGATCTTGGGCCAGTTACTTAACTCTTCTATGGTTTATCTTCCCATCTGAAAAATGGGGACCGTGATGATATCAATCCCTCACTTACATACATGTGAGTTTTAAATAAATGAATAATCTCCCATCACAGTTTCTAGTATGGCACACATATTATAGACTCAAGAAATGTGGGTTAATTAATATTAATTTCTAGAAATTAATTAGTAATATTAGTCATGAGTAATACCTTTTCAGCCAGGACAAAATCTGTTTGTACCAAGCCCGACTCCGGTTCTTAACTCTTTAAATTCCTGGAAATGCAGAAGTCAGGGGGAAAAAGTCTTTGAAGAATTTTAGGAGGCTTCAGTCTAAACTAATATGAAATTGTCCATCTGTGATAGGAAATATAGTTAAGAGGAGTTTTGATTAAGTATCAAAATCATGAGTCTCCTGGCAGGCAGGGAAGGCTGCCCTGGCATTAGCGATGTACATGAACCTGGCTCATGAATATTCTCTCCACTGCTTGCATTTTTTGAACAGACTGGCCTATTTTTGGAGCCAGACCACTGCAACTCAGGCCTGGCACTGCTAAGTTATCTTCACTTCCTGGGCAACTGTGTCCACAGTCTTCTTTCCTGTTCATTTTTGATCCTCTGGAAAGGTCCCACAGCAGAGTGGAGCAGAAACAGGGTTACAGTTAGAGGCATAGGTGGCTCTTAATTCCATCTTTGAAGCTATGTCCCTGATTCCTTGGGGACTTGGGAGTGTCTTAGATTCTTCAAGCTTGGTCCCTGGAGGAACCAAATGACTCCTCCTTCAATGACCCCATCATGTGGTGTCTGTAGCTCCAGGCAGAGGTGAGGCTGTGGATGGAAGAAGTAGGGTTGAAGATGTGGAGGAAAGGAAGCCTCATGCCACAAACTGTATGACTGGAGTCCAGGCTGCCCCCAGGTGAAAAAGATTTGAGTCACGCACATGGGTTCAAATCCTGCCTCCATGTAAGCAAATCATTTGGCCTCACAGAGCTCATGCTTTCTCCTCCTCCTCCTTCTTCTTCTTCTTCTTCTTCTCCTCCTCCTCCTCCTCCTCTTCTTCCCTCCCCCTCCTCCTTCCTCTTCCTCCTCCTCCCCTTCTTCTTCTTCTCCTCCTCCTCCTCTTCTTCTTTTTCCCTCCTCCTCCTCCTTCCTCTTCCTCCTCCTCCTCCCCTTCTTCTTCTCCTTCTTCTTCTTCTTCTTCCTTCTTCTTCCTCTTCCTCTTCTTCCTCTTCTTCCTCTTCTTCTTCCCTCCTCCTCCTCCACCTCCTCCTCCTCCTCCTCTTTTTCTTCTTCTTCTTCTTCTTCTTTTTCTTCTTCTTCTTCGACAAACTTTCGCTGTTCTCGCCCAGGCTGAAGTGCAATGACGCAGTCTCAGCTCACTGCAACTTCTGCCTCCTGGGTTCAAGTAATTCCCCTGTCTCAGCCTCCCAAGTAGCTGGGATTACAGGAGCCCACCACCACACCCTGCTAATTTTTGTATTTTTGGTAGAGACGAGGTTTCACCGTGTTGGCCAGGCTGGTCTCGAACTCCTGACCTCAGGTGATCCACCTGCCTCGGCCTCCCAAAGTGCTGGAATTACAGGTATGAGCCACCGCGCCTAGCCAAGCTCACGGTTTTCACTGTAAACCAGGGCAGGTAAAAAGTTGCCTTGCAGATAAAACACATCTGCCAGGATTGATTGTGGTAAAGACAATAATTCAAGATATTACTTAGAGAGTGGGGCACTCTGGAGCCAGCCCATAGCAGATGGTCAGTGAATGATATCAGCAATAATAAGAGGTAATGTTTAATGTTTCTTTGTACTGACTTGAGCACTGTGCCGGTGGCTTTGTGTGCTTTACACATGGAATGCATTCCATGCATCTCTGTGCTTTATGCATTTAATTCTCAAAACAGCCTCTTGTAGCATCTTATTACATTATGTGTAATACACTAAAATATATGATGCATATTATTATTTTACACACGAGGACCTTGAGGCTTAGCAATGTCATACTGCTTGTCCAAAATATCTACAGCCAAGAATTGACCCTGGGTCTTTCCGACTCCATAGTCAAGTTCTCACACTAGAGACTGCTGCCTGTGTTAGTAAATAGTGCCTCATCCTGACCTAGCAAGGGTGCCCTGTAGTTCACCTTCTCTCCTCTCTCACCTGCAGTGTGCGGGAACGCTGTCTGGAGGAGCAGAAGCGGAGGCGACAGCGAGCCACCAAGAAGATCAGCACCTTCATAGGGACCTTCCTTGTGTGCTTCGCACCCTATGTGATCACCAGGTAAGCCTGATTGGCAGGTGTGTGGTGGGACTTTGAAGAGCAAGGCAGGGCCCAGTGGCCTTTAGCAGTGGCAGCCTCTCTTGGTCACATGTTCTTCTGCAGGGTGTGTTGTGAGGTACAAGAGTGAACTTGCCAGATTTAGTGAACAGGAGGCTGCACGCTTTTCCTCTCCACCCTCGAATTCTTTTGGATTCAACTCAGAACCCAAAGGGTGTGAAAGACTCTCTCCCACTTGATTTCTAAATCACATAATTAAACCCTTTATCCCAGGCTTCCAACCCCCAGGAGGCCCTAAAGAGGAGAAGGTGAGAGAAGACAGAGGGAAGCATCATCTTCCCCAAACCCCAGCTCCCCACATCCTGATTCACTGCCACTGAATGCAAGACAGCCCAACCCCCAGGCATCCCCAGCCCGAACACACAGGTCAACAGCAAGGTCACCTGCCACCTGCACAAGGAGCAGGTAGCATGCTCTGTGTCCAGCCAGGTGGGCATACCTGTCCTATGGCTCAGGGGCTCTTCCAGTGTTAGGCCAGGTGCTGTGAGGCTTTTCGTGTACTCTCCCATATCTCCAGATCCTCGAGCCAGCCAAGGTTGCAATACACTAGCCTTGGGCTGTGTGTCTCTCAAGGCAGCTTGCTCTAACTGCAGCACTCCCCATATGTGTTAGCCAGAAAGAAGGAAAATATGTATTACCCAATCAGTTTTGTGCACTGGAGGGAAAATAAAAACTCCACAACTTTGCATCTAAAGAGGGTTAACTAGATGAGAAGTTGACAATAGAAAAGGAACTTTGATGGTTATTAGAAGGTGGATATGGAAGCTTTCATTGAATCTGGGAAGCAGAATCTGTGCAGGGTGTGTGTGTGTGTGTGTGTGTGAGAGTGTGTGTGTGAAAGAGAGAGAGCGAGGGGGAGAGAGAGAGAGAGAGAGAGAGAGACACCCAGGAAAAGAACAGATCCCAGCTGCCAGCAGCCCCCAGCATCCTCAGTTGCAGGAACCACACGGGGTCCCCCATGCCTCACCATCACTCAGCATCTTGCACGACCCAGTGAAGAGGGGGCCCTGTGGACAGTTCGCCCCTGTTTCCTCTCATTTGTCCTTACACTGAGCTGAAGCATGATTTGCTCTGGCCTCTACTGCTGCTCCCAGTTCTTCTTTCTGCCATCCAGGAGGCTGTCCTCTACTCCCAGGAACCTCTGTGGATTGCAGACACTGGGCCTGACTTCCTGAGACCAGCTCCCCTCTTCTTTTCCCCAGATAGACAACTCTATGGTGCCTTCCCCTGTCTCCTGTGGCATGCCGCTTTCTCTAAGGGCGATCTAGTTAGCCTGTGTCTCGCTTTGAACGTGGGGTCAAGACCTGTCTGCAGGTCCCTGGATGGGTCTGACCGGAGCAGAACTATTGGCTCTTCTTTCTAGAACTGTTCACTAGACCTCAGCACCACTGACATTCTATGCCAGATACTTCTTTGATGCCAGGGCTGTCCTGGGCATCATGGGGTGTTCAGCAGCATCCCTGACCTCTACCCACTGGATACCAGTAGCACCTCCTAGTGAGGCAGGGGTACCCTTCCCAGGTCCCTCTAAATTTTGATAACTAAAAATGTCTTCAGACATCACCAAATGCTCCCTGGAGACCAGAATCACCCCTGGTTGAGAACCACTAGTCTAGACCCACCACATTCAGCCAGGAAGCCAGAGCTTACATCATTCAGGGATTTCCACAAGACACAAAGCCTAGGCATGGCAACAGAGGAGAAAGGATTTCTGTTGCTCCCCAAGGGAGGCATAGGAGAGGACTTAGCAGCATGACTCTGGAGTGTACCTCCCCAGAGCCCAAACCCCAGCTCCCCCACATCCTGCTGTGTGACTTTGGGCCAGTGATGTGGCCTCTTTGGGCCTCCAGAAGAGAGTGCAGTGTTGTGAGGATCTAAGGACAGGGACCATGGACATGCGGCACATGCCTGCTGAGGATATCTGTGGTCTTCACTCTCCTTCCTTCTGGCACTTACAGCACCATCCACAGTGCCCCTGCCCCGGACTGGCTGCTGCACCAAGAGGGGATCTGATCCAGTGAGGGAAGGTGCATCAGACAGGGAGGGCACACAGAGCCCCTCCTCTTAGGTTGCAGAGGACGGGCAGCTGTGGGTTAATGAGGTGAATGGGAACCCTCAGAGGATAGGTGACACGGCTCCGACTTCAAACTATTGGACTTTTCTCCGGCTTAATTTCATTTCCCAACAACATTTTCCATTTAAAAAAAAAAATTACAGCCGGGTTCTCTCTCATAGTGCCCAGGAAGTAATGTTTCAGTAAAATGGATGATAGATTACAACTCAATATGCTCCCTCCAAATGGATTTGATGCATCTCGGGTTTTAAAAACATTCACGGAACAGTTCATCCTCCATGGGGATGAGCAGCAACTTACCTGGGAGAGAAGCAATGCCCAGGAAACCTCATGAGTACAAAATATGTCTCTGGCAAAACCCCGCCGGGCCACCACCCTGGCTGCTCTTGCCTTGGCTTTCTCTTGTGTGTGGAGGAGCCATCCTAAGAACACCCCCTAAAATGAGCACACACACCCACATTCCAGTTCCGTGCGTCTCTAGAGCACTTTTTTTGCGGAGCATACAAGAATCCCTGCAGCGGAGGCATGGGTTGGTGTGACCCCAGGAGTTCCCGTCTGTTGGGGACATTGACCTTGTAGTCCTCTAACCCAGATGGAGCACCGTGTCATGCGAAAGGCCCAAGCTCCACAGGTTCTGGGGCAGAAATGAGCTCTCACGGCTGGGGCTTCACGGACAAGCCTTGTGAAGTGGGCCTGGCTGTTCAGGGCGACTGTCCAGGGAGAAGGGACAGCACGAGCCAGGTCTAGAGCTGTGTTGTCCAGCATGGGGGCCACCAGCAACAGGTGGCTACAGGGCACTTGAAACATGGCCTGTCCAAATAGATATGCTATAGGTTTAAAAACACATGAGCTCTGAGACTTAGCATGACACACTCTATACATGAAATTAATACATTTTTGGCCAGGTTCAACAGCTGACATCTGTCATCCCAGGGCTTTGGGAGGCCAAGGTGGGAGGATTACTTGAGGCCAGGAGTTTGAAACCAGTTGGGGCAACATAGTGAGACCTCTTTCTCTGCAAAAACATTTAAAATAATAACTCGTAATTTTATATAGAATTCATAGTGAGATGATAAAGTTAAATAAAACATGTAATTAAAATTAATTGCACCTGTTTCTATTCACTAGCAGAACATTTCAGGTGACACCCATGCCTGCCTTCTCTCTCTGTTGGCCCTTGCTGGCCTGTGGTCAGGGACGTCTGGGGTGCGAGGTGTGCCGGTGCCCTGCTCCCCACCCCCCTCCTCCTAGAGCTTGAGCTGCTCATATGATCCTTCAGTGGCCAGGCCCTCCATGTCATCCACTCTAAAAGGATGCACAGAACTTCCTCCTCCACCTTTCTCTCCCATCAGGGCCCTGCTCAAAGTCAGGGTTTATCTGGGAATGTTTCCTGAGCAGTCAAATCAGTGTCTTTCTCCTTGGGGTCAGGAGGACTGAAGGGAGGAGACATCAGACCCTGAAACAAGGCAGCAGGGAGAGGAGTGCAAGGCAAATAGAGCCTCCTGGTGGGTCCTCCTGCAATCACACCCCTCTTGGAGCCGCCTGACCTTGCCAATCCCTCTACCCCTACATGGCTTCCACAATGTCCAACCAGATGCTTAGTCTTTAGGGTGACCGGAAGTCCCCCCCAGGCACATCAGATGGGCTTCTGTGAATTTATATTCACTGCACCAGGGGCCATCTGAATCCCAGCTGTGCATGGGCGCGGCCAGGACCCCATCAGAGCTCTACTTCCCCTGCCAGGATATGGACTGCCAGACTGGGCAGGGTGCAGAGGGGACAGGATTAATCTCACAGCCACCTCCAGGGAGCCTGATGCAAACTCTTCCATCTTCCTTTGAGTCAGGGTTGAGAAACACATTGCTTGTGAGGAGAAGCCAATCAATGGTAAGGAATAAACAAGATCATCCTGCAAAGCATTCAGCACAGTGTGAACTTATCATCCATGCTAGAATCTGGATCACTGACATTTCCAGTCACAATTTTTTATTTTTCTGCTGTTCTTTTCAAGACGATTTCCAAGTATAGAGATGACCAGTCTCAGAAGAAGCTGAAGACACACCTCTGAAATGTAGTTGAGGATTTAACTTCTTATAGAAAATGAGTCCTTGTGGAGAACCAAGAGCCATGGGTTTTGGAGGCAAAGGATCCCCTAAGCTATCATCTCATGCAGGGAGGGTGAGCTGGTTGCACCATGCAGACCAACTTGAACCCACTGCTGGTGACCAGCAGAGCACTGTGTTGAAAGCAGTTCTGAAGCCAGGCTGGGATTAGCGGGAAAGTGCTAGGAATGGCTGGGAGAGGCACGCATGCTTGAAGTTTTTCTTGGGTTTGCCAGCTTGGCTTTACCTTAGAATTGCCTGGAGAGCTTTACATCCAAACTCATATCTGGACCTCACACTGAACCAGTTCAGTTAAACTCCCTCGGTGTGGGGCTGAGCATGGGTGACTTTAAGGCACCTCCGATGATTCTAATGGCCAGTGTGCTGATAGCCATGTCTATTGCATCCCAACCCATTTTACTGCTGGAGTAAGTGAGGACTGGGGTCAGGGAGTGTTGGAATAATTGCCCGGAGCTACGCATCTAGTCGGCAGTGGAAGTGGACTTCCAACCTCATTGGGCTCTCTACCCGTCCCTCAGGCTCTCAGAGGCCTCTGGGGAGTCTTTGCAGACCCAGCTGTCCCCTCCTTTCTTGTGTAGGTCTGTGGCTGTGGCATTAAAGCTCATGGCATGCGGAGAGTGCTCCTAAACCCCTTCCGCAAGATCCTCTACCCACTCCCAAGGCAGATCTTCCAAGGCTTGCTGAGTGAGTCATACTCCTAGACTCCCATCAGCCCACTGCACTGCAGCTGCAATCGTGGACTGCGG